TCAATGAATAGGTACCCTGTGTCTAGCTGGTGGGAAAGCTGTGGGGAATAGCTAACAGAAGCAAAATGATTATTCCTGATCCTTCTCTGTTTTTACTGCAGTCTGCAAGGTCAGGCACAGTTTTCACTCTGTCCATTAATTCCTTTTCTGTCAATAACTATATAAAGTATTCTATAATCCCAGACATACTTATTTCAAGAATTTATGAGAAAATTTTATTTAGTCCAGAAACATTCTGAGAGCACTATGAAGCCAAATAGAGAATTCCCATGAGGACTCAAGAAAATAATTCTAAAATATAAAGGCATATATACCTATGACAAAAAGGAAAAATTGGGATATAGATTTTGGAAACAGACACGTTTCACTTAAAAAGTGCATTGCACCCATTATACAAATCCCACTGACCACAAATTGCAATTTATGAGCACCATAGACAGAAATTATTTCCCCACATTCAGATATAACATTTAATCTGTAATATAGATTATATTTATGGGATAAATATGAGGAGTTCAGATAGAGTGCTTAAGATAATCATCTAAAGTTTTCGCTTTATCAAAATTTAATTAAAATTGTTTTACAATATGAACTTTAGCTAAAGTAGAATATTTAAAGGAAAGTAAGAAAAAAACTGTTTTAAAAATGCCTCAAATGCATAAAATCCACTATCCTCTTATTACTGTCTTATCTGTTTTCTGCCATAGAGATGTTTTCTGAAAACTAAATAAAAATCAGCTAACTACATTTCTTTATCTTTAGTTGCATTTTGTTCTCTGAAAGTTTCTGAAGAAATGCAATAACCGTCATATAACCATCTCCTAGCCTGCCCTTTAATTCCTTTTTTTGTGTGCTCTAACAATATATTTATTACAAATATTTATTCCTCCCAGAAATATTTATTCCAATTTCTTAATCAAATCATTAATATTTTACCTGCTATATTTAATAAGATCTTCACAGATTTTAAAAAGAAAAAGTAATGAAAATGAAGAGGACACACCAAAAGCTTTTCACTTTTTTACATAAAAGTTTCTTGTCATAAATAAGACCACTCAATTTCTTTTTAAAAAGGAAAACAACTTGCTATGTAAATATATTGCCTTATAAAACTTCAGGAATTTTCTTCTTAATTAATCTAGAACTTTTTTCTTTTTTCTGCAGGGTATATTTTAACAGTAACTTTCAGGGCATATATTTGAACTATGTTTTAATTCAGCATTTCCCAAACTAGTTTTGGGAACACTAGTGTTCCCCAGGAATGTTTCTATAGGGAACTCAAATAATTGATTGCCTGGTTTCTTGGCAACTGAAAATTCTGAGTGGATGACTGACTAAAGAAGATTATATGCTTTTAACCTCCAAAGTGTTTTCTTGCTTGAACAGGCTGAAATTTTCCATTTATTTGCTGTGAGATGAGAAAGTACTTTCTCTTCTCAATGTAGATTAGATATAGAAAGTACTGTTTGCTTAGGTCTAACCTCAGCTAGAATAAAAATTTAATAAACTTCCACTGAATTATTTTTCAAACAGTTTAATTCAAGAGTATTCAAATGTGGTGAAACATCTGAATGGTACTTTTTGTTTCATATAATGTGAATCCAGATTTTTTTTATTTTTTCTCAAAAAGGAGATACAGAAATCAATTTGATGCTGTGCAAAATATGAAGATTAAGTTGTTTATATTACTCGGAATATTAAGCAGATTTGTTATCAACAAAAGTGAAACATTTCCATTAAAGAACTTTTGTGAAGGAAAGCTAGGGAGTTCCAGAAAAACATCTACTTCTGCTTCATTGACTATGCTAAAGCCTTTGATTGTGTGGATCACAACAAATTGTGGCAAGTTCTTAAAGAGATGGGAATACCAGACCATTTTATTTGTCTCTTGAGAAACCTATATGCGGGTCAAGAAGCAACAGTGAGAACTGGACACGGAACCACTGATTGGTTCAAAATTGGGAAAGGAGTCCGGCAAGGCTGTATTCTGTCGCCCTGTCTATTTAACTTATATGCAGAGCACATCATGAGAAAGGCAGGGCTAGATTAATCAAAAGTTGGAATTAAGATTGCCGGGAGAAATATCAACAACCTAAGATATGCAGATGATACCACTCTAATGGCAGAAAGTGAAGAGGAACTAAAGAGCCTCTTGATGCGGGTGAAGAAGGAGAGTGCAAAAGTTGGCTTGAAACTCAATATTAAGAAAACCAAGATCATGGCATCCGGCCCTCTCAATTTCTGGCAAATAGATAGGGAAGAAATGGAGGTAGTGACAGATTTTATCTTTTATCCAAGATCACCACAGATGGGGACTGCAGCCAAGAAATTAAAAGACGCTTGCTCTTGGGGAGGAAAGCTATGGCAAATCTAGACAGCATACTAAAAAGCAGAGACATCACCCTGCCAACAAAAGTACGTATAGTCAAGGCCATGGTTTTCCCAGTTGCAATGTATGGCTGTAAAAGTTGGACCATAAGAAAGGCTGAGCGCAAAAGAATTGAGGCCTTCCAACTATGGTGCTGGAGAAGACTCCTGCGAGTCCTCTGGACTGCAAGGCGATCAAACCGGTCAGTCCTAGAGGAGATCAACCCTGACTGCTCTTTACAAGGCCAGATCCTGAAGTTGAAACTCAAGTACTTTGGCCATCTAATGAGAAGGAAGGATTCATTGGAGAAGAGCCTAATGCTGGGAAAGATTGAGGGCAATAGAAGGAGACAACAGAGAATGAGGTGGCTGGATGGAGTCACTGAAGCAGTAGGTGTGAGCTTAAATGGACTCCAGAAGATGGTAGAGAACAGGAAGGCCTCGAGGAACGTTGTCCATGGGGGTCGCAATGGGTCGGATACGACTTCGCAACTAACAACAACAAGAGCATTTTTGTCTGTAACAGTAAAGTGGTTTTGCATGGTAAAGTGCATATTTTACTGACAGAATATCAACTTTTAAAAAATTATTACTATTATTATTTTTTTTTAAAAGATTTGTGCTATGACTGTAGCACAAGTCATAGTCTGTCCTCATCCAGACTATCAATTCACATCCCTACAAGGAAGATCAGCCCTAATGTCAGATGTTCTATAATGTATTCTGAAGCAGAGATTATGCTGGTGAATTAGAAAGTGATATACTTCAGTTCCTTCTTCTGCTAGAACAGAAGAGATTTGGTTTTTTTAAAACAAGGAGCAAAATTTGAGAGCAACTCCACTGAAGCATGTACCAAGACAGGGAAGAGATGGAACTTCATTACTCCAAGTAGTTATTGATAAATGGCGAGAACTTTCCAAGTAGTGGTGAAGTCCAAATGAACAAAGCAGAGCCACTCTTTTTGAACATGGATCCCCAACCCTGGTCTGTGGCATGCTAGAAACTGGGCTGCACAAACAAGTGAAGCCCCATCCCCAGGATGCAGTTAGCACACGAAACCACACCTCCTCCAGTCCGCAGAAAAACCTCTCTCCACCGAACCAGTCCCTGGTACCCAAAAGGTTGAGTGCCTGTTTTAGAATACTTCTATTTTATAGACGTAGAAGATAACACAAATATCCAAAAATTTATATTAGAACTTTAATGAACTTTTTCTCTGTGGTACTTCAGTCTCATTGTCTCATGTATTTGTCATTTTTCTGTACCAGAGTTATGGAATTGCTTTGATTCTTACTTCACAGGCATTCATAATTTTTTTTATTTCATTTTTTTATTTGAAGTTGCCTTATGATTTGTAATATACTGAGAACTTTTTATTTTTAGCAGACCAATACTTCTTGTGATCTACTCAGAGTACTGTATTTTCTTTTGAATGTTTCTTTTTAATCAGTATCTTGTGATCTAGGCAGTTCTGAAATGTATCTTTACCCAACACATAATATTTGCATTTAAATATTTAAAGCTTAAATTAATGTTTACATTTTATTTTTTTCCTTTTCGAAAATAAGGATTGTTTTTCTTCTTTTGTGAAAGAAGATACTGTAACTGAAAACATGCTGGCTTGTTTTAACTCAAGACAAGAGTTACTGAATAGTAATGAAATTATGTCCATAAGCTCACAAAAAGTTGGAAACGACTGAACAACTGTATACAATAACAGCGGATTTCAACTCTCTTGATTCAAACTACTATCGGAATGGAAATCCCATGCTCCTGGGCCGTAGCAGATTCAGAAAAGCCGAAAATGCTTATTACAAACCTCAAAAAAGCAACCGTGAAGTGGGTGCTACAAAGTCATGTAGGCTACGGAAGAGATTGCCCAACAGAACCACAATCTAACGAATCGATTTAACTCATTTATTGCACACATTCAGGAATCTAGATGAACGTTATCAACTTAGTAAACCATGACAGATGTGTAAATCGCCCAAACCAGAGTTAGACCTAATGGCAGGAAATAAAGCACTGCAAAAAAAAAGTAACTAAAAGGAGGATGTTCTACCTCGCTTTTGGGCATACCGATTCAGAAACTCAAATAAATTGAAGACATGAGACGCCGCTGTAACACCGCCCCCCCCCCGCCCCGCCGAGGAGGGGGCGATGAAGCAAGATGAGAAAACTTATCCCTCCCCCCCTTCGGGCCGGGAACAGCAAACGACCACCCGCCCAAACACGTGTTCCCTCACAAACACGGGCACCGATCCCTGAGGCGGCGCTTAGCACGGCGGCTCCTCCCCTTCCCCGCTCACCTCATGGAGGCTCGGCCCCTTCCCGCCCCGCCAGCGTGACTCCAGCGGCCAGGCCTTGGCGCCAAGCGCCGCCTGTGCGTGGGAGGGGGTTCGCGGCGCGACTCGGCGCAGCGGCGGGATCGGCGATGTGGGTAAAGCGCCACCCCGAGTTCGGCCTAGAACCGACTTGGCCTCTTAATCGCGGTCCCACATACCGGCCGAGCCGGCGAGTGCCGGGAGCTGCCTCTCGTCCCGTCTCTCCGGGCGCCTGAAGCTGTTTCCGGCGGACTTTTGCCACCCCCAGCCCTGCCCTCGCCGAGGGCCCCTCTTTTCCGCGGCGCTCACCTTGTGGCTCTGGAGATGGCGGTGACCACGGTTTGCGCTCCACCAGGCCTGGAGCTCGGTTCTTGCTCAGGCTACTGCTATCTCGCGTTGCTCATCGGTGCCCCCGTTCTTCAGTCGCAGCGGCGCTGCCCCCGGGCCTGCCTGTCCTGACTAGGGCCCTGCAACATGCCGCCTGCTTCCCCTCTTTCCTCTCGTGCTCTGGGGGAAGCGGGCCCTTGCCCTTGTACTCTCCCTCTTGGCAGGCCAGGCTGCGGTACAAGAGCCCTATTGTATTATTGACACTACTGCTACCGCCGCCACCACCGCCGCCTCTCAGGCTCCGCCTCTTCCCCTTCCCTTCTCTCCCACCCTGCCGGCAGCGGCGGCGGTTCAGCTCTTGTCTCGCGGTCGAGCTGCCTGGCACCTGCATGGCAAAAAAAAAAACCAAACCCGCTCATCTGCCCCCGGATTTCTTAGCGATCCCCAGCAGCGCAAAGAAATCTTTCGGAGGTCCATTATCTGCTGCAACTTTCCAAAGCTTGGTTAATCTTTGTTATTAAACTCCATTATTTTTTTAAACAAATTATTGGAAAAATCGGTATATGACCACTGTCTTCAGTACACTCTGTTTAGGTAGCATTTTTTTTTCTTAGCACGTTCCTTCCTTCACTGTGTAGGTTGAAAATAAAGTGCTTTGTTCCACTAGGTAAATTTTATCATACCCATGTACGTGTTACAACTAATATACTGCAAAACAAACTACTTAATGTGTTGGGTACACATGGAAGCAGCTAAGCTGAATAATTGCATTTATGTTTTGCTGATAAGGATCAGGATAAGTTGGGATAGAGCAAAAATTTACATGTGTCAACTACCCTAGGTCATCTGCAATGAAAATAAGGGGAGGAAGTGTTATTTCAGCACAAAAACAATACAATTTTCCCTATGACAATCATATTTCTACAATTACAAGATGTACATGGTATCATTTTTTATATAAAAATGTTCAGATGCTTTCAGTTATAAGCCCACATAATTTTAACTCCATTACCAGTTCAGATCTAGCATATATTTAATGACGTTTGTGTGAAAATATATCTTATATCAACTAATTCATAGTCTATATCACGGGTGTCAAACTGCCGGCCCGCAGGCCAGTTTCATACCAAAGCTGCGCCCACCCCATTGTCGGCAATGCAAAAAGTCGCAATATGTCGCGTCACGTGACATGAGTTTGACACCCATGGTCTATATGATTGAGTAAACAAACCATTTAATACTGTAGCTGGGATGCATTATCCTAATACTGATAAGAAATACATTAAACAGTCTATGATTATCAATACTTGCACTTTTTCTGTTAACAAAAAGCTTAGCACATTTAGGGAAGCACTATTACATCCCAATTTTGTCCCATAACCTGTGTGACATGCTAGAACAGCTTGCAGCATGGTGCCAATTTCATAATCCCCATTTTGACCCAAAATTGCTACATGGAAAAGCTGCTGATTCATGTTCAATTATTATTTGTAGAAAAGGAGACTCCTATATATGAAGTCACCTAATTTATGCACACGCAAATCATACAGTAGCTGAATTATAAAACTACAACAAACTTATCAACCTAATTTGGAAACTGTAATAACATTAATCCTGTTTGAGGTGTGGGCAATTAAACTGGAGTAACACTATAGAACTCTGAAATGAAATGAAACTCTGTCAGTGATGGAAGACTTTTTAAGCGATGCAGAAAATATTTTATCCAGTATGTGCTGCTTTGGCTAGATACATGAAGCCAGAAGACATTGGCCAACCACTTTCAAAAACATCAAGAATACTTTACCAGGAGAAAGACTAACTTGAAGACACATTCTCAAAGACATTTTGAAGCTTATTGCAATATTGTTTTTGTATTCAATATACAAAAGTTGTAGGACTTAATATGGAAAAACCATTTTTAAGCTAGCAAAATTCTCATGATTCTCAGCTATCCTGAGTGATGATTGATAAGGAATAGCTGAAGCTGTTTTAAGTACTTCCCCATATGGTAATTTTTATACCTTCATATAATAGTATTTGTAGCCTATAGCATACAACTAGTGTTCCTGATAAACACAGCTCTATTCATCATAACACAGTGCTATTTAGAGCAAATATACCATGTTTAAGATTGCTCTGTGATCAAACATTTTTTTAAACTAAATGTGAATGAAAGTTTAAATACCAAAAGGAAACTGCTGGATCAAAGCAAAAGTCTACCTGCAACAGCTTTGGCTACACTAATCTAGGAACCAGTAATATATCCTCAAACAGGACATACATGTGACAGTAATCTTCCAATCATATTTGCTGGTAGTGAATTACTTATAGGATGATAAGTGTGACTTATCTTCATAAATCTAACCAATCTATTAAAAATGTAATTTGGTCTCCAGTTAGACACATGTAAAACATAACAATATGTTTTGTTTTGTTTGAAGTTTAGAATACTCAGCACATCCAGATCCACAATAAAAGGTTTTATTCTCTCCCCTGCATAAAACTCATTAGTTTTGTACCAAGCTGAGACAAAATCATTAAAGGATTCTGTATACTATGTTCACATTGTTATTTTATTAACTAATGCTGTAGTGCCACTCTGTTGCTTTTCCCTGATTGAACAGAGATATTCAAAATAAACAGTGACCTGAGCTTAAAAACCTTGTTGCCTACCTAGTAAATTTATTGTTTTTTCATGTTTAGATTGGGAAAATTAAATCACAGGCTAGAATTCTTTGCTGGTTCCTATGGTCTGAGGACTTTATGATTAGATTATTGAAGTACAGATAGGCCTTGACTTAAATTCATGTAGTGACTGTTCAAAGTTACAACAGCACTAAAAAAGTGGCTTATGGCCATGTTTCATACTTAGACCTTTGCAGAATCTCCATGTCCACGCTTGCCAATTGGCATGTATTTATAATGGTCATAATGTCCCAGGATTATGTGCTCACCATTTGTGACCTGACAAGCAAAGTCAACGGGGAAGTCAGATTCACTTAACAAACGTGTTACTAACTTAACTGCAGTGATTCACAGTGACAAGAAAGGTTGTAAAATGGTGCAAAACTCACTTTACTGTCTTGCTTAGCAATGGAAGCTTTGGCCTCAATTGTGGTTGTAAGTCAAGGACTACCTGTAGCCATTTTCCCAGTTTCTAAGAAGCTTTAAACCTCTGCCACCTATTCATCTTCCCATTAGATTTTTGTACAGTGTGATTATCAGCATCAGATCCAACAAAATCTTAAAGACAATAAAATTATAATAAAATTTGTTTAACAACCAGGCTACTTATGAGCCATCTTTGAAGTTATAACACCTTCCCCCCATCATGTGTCACATTTTGAACAGTTGGCAACCAACTCATTTATGACCAGATGCAGTATCTCACAATCACATGACTATAATTTGCTACTTTTGCTATTTTTTAGCAAAAAAATAGCAACAAAATGCCCCTTGATATGCTGGATTCACTTAATAGCTCATGTGGTGCACTTACAGTAACAACCATGATTACTAACTTTACCATCATTGTAAAAACAATCATAAAATTGACCCCAGTCATATGGTTCCTTGATTTACAACTGCAATGACTTAAAACTGAAATTCTGGACTTCGTTGTAGTCATAAACTGAGCCTATATAAGCTTAAAGATTTAAGAATTTATTATATGTGCAATACTGACCAGGGTCTTTTTTTAAAAAATAAATAATGCAATATACCATTTTACATTGTAAATAAAGGGAAGCTTTCATTTAAGTATTTATTATAAAACACATTTCACAAATGCTAGACAAGTTGTATATAAAAGCTGTAACATACCATATAATTTTTACTTAAATTCTATAATATAGTACCAATAAATTCAATTAATAAACAATATCAAATACATAACAATTCAGAAATTAAGTCATGAATCCTTCCATTTTGATAATATAAAAACAAGTAAATGTCTGTTATGCTTCCATTGATTAAATTGCTAATGCAGAAATTTTCTTTTTTCCTCTTACAATGTTTTCTGTTAAAATGTACAGTTAAAAATTCTATACACAGTCTTTATCCAACATAAAGTGCTAATATAGGAAAGAAACCAGTATTTACATATAAAACATTAACTATACAAAAAATAATAATTTTGCAGTTGTGTAAAATATCAAACTTTTAGACACCAGTAAATTTGCAGTATAATCCTTAAGCTGCAACATTTACTCTGTTTACTTTAAAGGAAGCTCCAGGGCAGCTACCACATGGCTAAAAGCCATTTTGCTATACTCTGAACAACTGATAAACTGATTGTATTATTATTCTTTAATTCTCATAATCTGTATTTTACCATCTAAACCACTTCAGTGGTACAGTAATATATCTCAAATCCTGAGAATGGATTTGAGTAGATGCTTCATTTTAACCATTATTTATTATTAAACATAGTAAATTTTTGAGGAAATGTTGTAGTGGCCTATGAGTTGAAAGGATCATGTTATTTAATTATGTGTATGGGTTTGGGGCGGAACAGGTTTGTGAGATATGCCTACATTTGGGTTTCTTTTTATTTGTTAATAAATGGAAGTTGATATTAGAGTTCCTCTGTGACCTGTGTTCTGCCTTACATATCTTCTGAGATTCACAATTTGCTTAATGTTATTCTGAGTTTCTTGCAGTCAAAAGCAGTTATGACCTCCACACTGCTCCGCTGTTATTTGGAGAGGAACTTGCTCGGCTTGTAAAAAAGGAAGAAATTATTTGAGAAAATAAGATAAAAGTTCAGCCTGGGAAGAGATGCTGTTCTTGCATCTCTGTGGATCAGAAAAAGACTTCGATAGGATGCGAAGTAAGATAGGAAGATTCATAATTTAACAGCACAGAATTTGAAAACCAAAACAGAGCTTGCTGGAGAAATAAACTTCTTTTGTGTGTAAGGATTTAGGCAATTACATTTAAAAAATCCTGGCTTAACATGTAAAATCAAACTAGTAAGATTGAAAATTGAGATTTATAGATTACACATAAACAGAAATGAATCATACATTCTCTAAACTAAAAGCAGATTTGCAACCTCTAATATTGAATATTAAGTAAAATGGGAATCAGACCTACAGGTCACATTCATTTCTCTAAGATCTGCATTTACAAATCAAATATATTTGGAATATATATAAACAAAAATCTGAACCAGGACTCTCACAGAAATTCAGCAACAAGAGCAATGAAATCCCCTATTTGGAGATTCTCGTCAGAAGCCATAGCAAAACCTTGGTTTCCACAAATGCCATTTCTTGGACTGTTATGTC